TTAGTTTTAAAAAATTAGTACTTTCTAATACTCAGGCTGCAACTGACTGCATACAGAGACAGCCAGGATGATGAGTCCTACCCACTAAGGGTTTTTTTATTTGCTGAAAATACTGCCTTTTTTTCTGAGTGCTAACTTTCCCCAAATGTATACATACTCTTGAATGAATGCTTACATTTGGGTATAGAATTTTCTTGCACACCAAAACACAAAGGACTCCTCAGATACTTCAAACAGAAGTTCTTCTTGGTCTCTTCCTCTCCTTCAATAACAAGCTTTGAGCTTTGGGATGGGCGGAAAAAAAAAAAACAAAAAAACTGATCCACATGAGATTTAATGTGAAAGAACACAGATTTAATCCAGGAAGAAAAGTTTATACTGGATAGTGGATTTACCCTTGGCCAGCCAATGGTATACCAAGTCATCCTACCCCCAGTTTCATCTGGTCCCTTGCAGTGACTGAAAGCAGAGGCCCTTCAGACTGCCTGGGGTACTTGGGAAGCAGGCAGATCTCTCAGCCTACCTCTTGGTGTGATTCTTTAGTCATGGCTTGACCTTGGTGGTAGAGATCTATGAGCTTCATTTTGCCAAACATTGACCAGGGCTAAGTCAGATACCAGGTCACAGGGACATTGTAGCAATGATAGAGGTAAGGGTTTTTCTCAGTCAGAGTGTGGATGCAAGTCTAAGAAGTACTCAGAGTCTTTTCCCATGGCACATTCCCAACAAAGAAGTAGAATGTAGGATTCCAGAGCACCAACTTATAGATTTTTATAGTTTCAAAACCATATGATCTCAGTAACTGAATAATAGAATCTCACAGTATTGAGAAGCATTAACAAAAGAGTTTAGAGGTTAAAGAACCCATGTATGAATTTACTTGATAGCTAGATGAATGGCATGGAATTATTTAACCTCAATAAGCCTGTTTCTTCTACTCATTGGGTACACATAATGGTGCATAAAATACAATGAGGATGTAAATAAATCTGTATATTTGAATAACATAGTGCTACTGGCTCAATATTCATGTGTCCTCCCTAATTCTCATGTTGAACGCTAATTTCCAAGGTGATCCTATTTGGAGGTGGGGCCTTTGGGAGGTAGTTAGGCATGAATATAGAGTCCCACTAAAGAGACCCAGGAAAGTCCTCAGACTCTGGGATACCACACAAGAGGGCAAAATGAAAATTGCTGTCTAGGAACCTGGAAAGGAGCCCTCATTAGATGCCAAGTCAGCTGGTGCTTTGTTCTGATACTTTTCACTCTCCAGAATTGTGAAGAAAGAATTCCTCTTGTATTATGACACATGGCATTGAGTCTGGCACATGGTAAGTTTCCTAGTTCTAATTTTCCATAACAAGCCCCTAAAATCTTAGAGCTACCAGTGATCACAATGATCATGCAGTGAGTCCAGGTAGTGATGCTTGGCATGAGAGGATTCAATAAAGGCCATTGGTGAGATAGGCCATGTCCTGCCCAGAAAGGAAGGGACGCATTAACTCTGGAGGGACTTTGGAGCCCAATCTTCAAGGCCAACATTATGCTTCTACTGACTTACTCTGCAGGGCAGAGCTCAGGGTGGGTCTTGCTGTCTGTAGGCACCAGCAGGCTCAGCAGAGGAAAGCAGGCAAATCCCTCCCCTAGCTCTGGGGTTTAATCAAAACTGTCTTCTAAATATGACTGTGGGAGATTATATTGGGGGATTTGCAGGAGGCTGACATGGGGCAGAGATGGTGGGAGCAGATTGTGGCTGGGGACTGAGGCTGGGATAATCTTTGGCTCAGACGTACCATTCTCAGGCCTCCACCTGGATCCCCGGAGCTCACTCTCAGTTCTGAGGCTTCTGAGCCCCAAATGGAGAACTAGATTACTCAGTATCTTACAGCTCTGGAGCTAAAAGGAGCAGAGATCCATCCAAGGTCCATAGCAAGGCAGGGAACGATGCAAGGAGAGCAGATTCCTACCCTCCTCTGCCCTGTTTACACCTCACTGCCTCCAGACCCTTAGGACAATCCTAGGTAGGGGGCAGCTGTCTCCAGGTCAAGAAATGGCTCCTAGAGCCAGAGGATCCAGAAAATAGGAAGGGCAGCCTGCTTTCCATGGCCCTCAGGCCTGCCTAGAGCTGAATGGCTGGAAGTGCATGGAAGTGAGAGTGTCCCACGTTTCATCTTTTGCATCCAGGCCTCCTCTTGGCCATCTGACCTTTGGATTTAGAAGAGGTTAATTTTTCAATCTGATTCAGTTCCCACCTCGCAGTGCGGACTCAGTGGGATGTTAAGGGACTCTCTTCCCTTCAGCAGACAGTCTAATCCCTGTCCTCAATTGGGGACCTCAAGGATTCCTCAGCCGCCTGGAGATCTCAGGAGGGTTCTCCCTGGCACCCCAGGGCGGGCGTCCAGACTGCCTTGGAGGAAACCTCCAGCTAATGCTCTTTATTACAGGCTTTAATCCCACAAAGCCGACTGGAAATAATGTTTATCTTTTCGCAGTTTAATTTTCCGCACCCTAAGCCGGGGGTCAGCAAGGGCGACTGGAGTGTCCTCCTCGGGGATGCTGGGGGGAGCGACCAGCTGTTATCCGGAGCGAACCGAGGCAGGGAGAGAGGGTTCTCCCTGAGAATGGGAGAGAGAAAGATGGTAGAAGCAAGAAATTCAAAACAGGAATTAGAGAGTGTAAAGCTGGAGTCTCTGTCTCCCTCAAAGAGCTGTGTGACCCTGAACCAAAGTCACCGAACTGGGGTCTTTTATATTGAAAAGGCGGCCAGGTGGGGCGGAGCGGGATGGGGTGCAGGGGGTGGGTCGCTAGTTGCCTCCCCTCGGTGTTTCTACCTTTCACCTTTTCCGTACACACCCTCCAAGGATCTTAAAATTTCCGCCGGACTCTGCTGACCTTTTTCGCCCCAGACTCCAGGAACTTCCAGCTGAGGTCCGTGCTGATCAAAAGGCGTCACTCAGCCCTGCTGTTTGCGCCGGGCCGGCACCCGGCACAGAAAATGCTGCTCTTTCAGGGACCCAGCCCTTAGAGGAGCACCTGCCCCCGGCATTCCTCCTCCATCTACTCGGTCGTAAAGCAAACAGCCCGGGGTCCCTCCATCCCTGGGGCTAGCGGTGCGCTTTCTTGCTGTGTAAGGCTGAGGCCACTGGATCTGGGAAAGAGGCAAAGTAGACCCGGGCAGCCTCCTCCGGACTGCACTGCCGGGTATCTTTAAATCTGCATGGCACTCCAGAGGCCAACACTACTCCAAGTGGGTGTGGGGGGGGCACCAGGCTAGTGCCCCTGACCTCACTGCGTTTGATTAAAAGGAATAAGTGTCCCTTTCCCCCCAGCCTTTGGGATTTGTTGGACAGGAGCTGGGCCCAGCACTGTGACAAGGGACAGCTAAGATTATCTTCACTGCCCCTTCTTGAAATGAATGTACAACCCAAGTTCGAATTCTCTGCACAAAGAGTGCTCTATGGCAAACATCCTGGCTACCTCAACCTCCCTGGCACATCAATCTGGGGGCAGCCGCCTTGCAAGGCTGCTGGGTACACACCCTGTGGTCCCTAACCCACAAACCAGAAGGCCTTGCCTGCTGCCAGGTCGCTCCTTCCCTGGCTGTTAATGGATTCACAGGCCTGTTCTCAGGACCTTTGGCTACACTGTATCCTCTCCTTCACCCCGACCCAGCCAAGGCCCCTGACACAGATCAGCCACACAGCTTAGGTTAGCTTGATTATTTTTAAGAATGCAAAGGCTGGGAGAAGATGCAGGTGGTCCTTGGTGACCAGGAGAGTGATGAGGTTACAAAGTGAAGGGAACCTGGTAAAAGGCAGGGGTGGGCAATAGAGGAAGGAGGTCAGGCCCTTTATGCAGAGGGGGGAGGAGATTTGGTAGTCCTTGGGTGGGCAGCCTTGCCTAGGCTTCCCCACATCTTCCTCAAGGTGCTGTGTCTCTTGATCTGCAGAAGATTAGGGACCGGTCTGCCCACCACCTCCAATTCTGCGTGCAAGGACATAGCTAGGAGGGTTTCTGTGTGTCTTTCTCTTGGGTGAAATGTGAACTCCAGTTCCCTATCAAGGTCTTGCAGCTTGTTATTGAGGAGGTGAGTATCAAAAGGGTCCATTTCCAAGATTCTTCTGCAAGTTGAAGCCATTGCGCTAACCTGCTGAGAGAGGAAAGGTTGATTAAAACCCTGAAGGCCACTGGGTGGTGATACTAGGAAGTTGGAGGTCAGCAGGGTCTCATCTGAGGGCAAGCAAAGGCCTAGAGGCAATTTGTTTGCTAGATGTATCGCTTGAATGCCTATGTGTAAACTCAAATAACAATGTAACCCAATTTTCCAAGGCAGTAGCTAATCCTGGGAGAAATTACTACAAAGAGCAGATTCTGACAGTAATTGCTGGGGGCTATTTAATGCTTGGGGAATGGCCCTGTGTGGAGGGAACTTCCCTGCCTCCAGCCCTCAGCACTGCCACAGAACCTGGTGCTGTTCGGAGACACTGCCTGGTGGTCAAGCCCTGGGTGGGGACTGGCCTTTGGGAATGAGTGCCCTTCAGGGGCAGCACCAAACTCAGCTTCCAGGGCCTTGCAGGCTGGAGACCTCTATACTCGCAGGGGGGTTAGTGGGCCACGGAGAGGACTTCAAGCTGGACTTTAGCACTGACCTCCAACTCATAGCATGAATCTGGGCTCCTGCCCACAGATATCTGAAAAATTCAAGGTGCCTAATCAGCCTTAGGCAACCCTGGGTACTAGCACAGCTAGTCGTCTTGGAAGAGCAGATAGAGGACAAGGGGAATTGTGCTGGAGAAGCATATTGAGGAGCACTTGGTGCACCTGGCAGAACTGCGCACCTTGAAGGCACAGATCTAGATGGCCCAAGTCTTCAAAGATTTGCTGTGCTATCCTTTGTAAATTGTCTCCCCATGGTTATTCCCATTACTTGACCTATACTAAGGGAGGACTAGAACTTGGATCTCTAAGCATCACTTAAAGGAACGCCATGGGAGAGTCCGCTACCAGGTTTGAACCTGGGCTTGTACAGAGGAAGAGTGTGTCTCCGCTGGGCTGGCGGTGGGTGGGTAGCTTTTGGACGCCGATCTCAACGTCAGCACTCCCGCTCTTGGGGGTCCACTACCTTCTGCACCAGACGGGTACGGGCACTGCACTGAAGACTCCCTCCGCCTGGGACACGGTGTACAGTTCAGCGGCAGCCCCTGCAGGGCGAACATGGAGTTTTCAAAGACTTTGGCTTCACGGGAAGACTCTTCTTCGCAAGCGGAGTCTCTGGGGACCAAAGGTCGGGTAGACGAACCTGGAGGCTGTCCGGAAATCATGTGGCACTCAGGACTGCGAGACCTGGGCGGGGCTGAGGGAGCGCCTTCTACTGAGCCGGCTGCCGCAGTGTGAGCCAAAGACCAGATACGCGGCTTCTCTCGACAGGGGTAGTGTAAGATCATCGTGGGCCCCCGGGGCTCTGTCGCAATGAAGTCAGCTTCTCCCGACCCCGGGGGCTCATTCAAGGAGAAGCGGGAAGCCGCCAGGCTGCGCACCCCGCTCTCCAACCGGCCCTCTGGAGCTGCGGTGCACCGCGCGGGCAGCGACTGCATGCCCTTCTGGAACTCCGCTAGCCTGTCTGAAGCTGTGGACCCCACCTCCTCTTCTTCAGCTTCCTCCTCTTCCTCCTCTTCCTCCAGGTCTTCCAGGTCACTCAGTCTGAGTCCCTGGGCTTCCTGGTTAGCAGGAACATCTGCAGGAAATGGAGAGCAAGTGAGAAAAGCCTGAGGACCTAGGGAAAACCAAGGGAGTGCACATTCCCGCGAAGCTTTTAGCAAGATGCGCCCTACACTCAGGGCGCGCTCTCTGAGATCCACCAGACCCGCTGCACTGTCTCTCACGCACGCCCCACGCCCCATGGTTGACACCCGCCGTCCAAAGATTCCTCTTCTTCCAGCACCAAGCCAAGCCAATGCCTTTTGGAGGTACTGGTGTCTGTAACTCAGTTCCTCCAGTGTAAAACGAGGAGGAAAGGGTTTGATCCAACTTCTACACCGATAGGTGGTTGCTGTTGCAGTATTTTATTTATTAAATATTCACTCAGTGTTGTGTGTCCAGAATACTTCAAGCTCTTAGGTATTAGTATTTAGAGAGTACAACAGTAAGACATACAGTGGACAGAACATTCTGGGGAAGGGGTGGGCTTGGAGTTTATAAATTTCCTCATTGTGATAAATATGGCAAAAGAAATAAAAGTGGCTGATACTAACTAGGGAGCTACTTTGGCTTCAGTAAAGAGGGACACTTTCTGGGGTCCCCTTTAAAGCTGAGAATAAGCCGGTTCTGTAAGAAAGTTCAGGCAGAGTGAAGCACATAGGCAAAGCCTTCAGGTGTGCAAGGGAGGAGTACAAGGGGCATCTCACAGTACATTTACCCTGCTTGTGGCATGTGAGACCTATCAGGTGTGGTGGCCAGTGCTGTGAGTACCTTTGGTGTCACCATTTAAGCAGCCCAGGGACTCCTCCATTCTCCCTTCCACCTTCCTGTCCTCCCCGCCTTTGTTCTTGGGTGCCCACGTCATCTTGTTCTCCTTCTTGAGGCGCCGACGCGCGTTGGCGAACCAGGTGGACACCTGGGTGAGGGTCATCTTGGTGATGATGGCCAGCATGATCTTCTCGCCCTTGGTGGGGTAGGGGTTCTTGCGGTGCTCGTTGAGCCAGGCCTTGAGCGTGCTGGTGGTCTCCCGGGTGGCGTTCTTCCTGCGACCTGCACTGCTCAGTTCCACCCCACCATACCTGGGGAGAGAACCCACCTTAGGTTCCAGGCTGGGGAGAAGGAGCTTGGAGCAGTGGACAGTCTGCTACTTGGAAGTGCGGTTCTATCCCTCCCACCCCTACCCCATGCACACCACCTTGGCAGGGCACCCAGCTACCAAGGAGCCCTTCTTCTCACCTATCATACTGGTACTGCCCCAGAGTTGGCTCATAGGGATAATAAGCTCCTGGTTGTGCCAGACTTGGTGTCAAACTCCCTGTTGCTTCCTTAAATTCATACTGTGGATTCTGGTGGTGTGAGGAGAGAAAAAAACAGAATTCAGAACTATACTTGGGCAGGATGCAGGCAGGGCTATGGATTCAGTGGTCAAGTTCAATTCACATCCTGGTACCACTACTCTTTTTTTTGTTTGTTTTGTTTTTTGGCAGCATCAGGTATTGAACTCAGGACCCTGCACTTGCAAAGCAAGTACTTATTCTACTGAGTTATCTCCCCAGCCCTGGTACCATTACTCTTACTGGCTGTGAGACATCGGGTTCAATTATTTAATACTCTGTGCCCCAATTCCTCCACTGGTAAAATGGTAAAATGGTGATCATAACTTAAAGATACTGAAGAAGACCACTTGGACAGAGAGCTTGGTAGAATCTCTGGGGCAGAATAAGCAATAATTACACATCAGCTGCTGTTATTCTTGTTACTTGTGTTCCCCACCACATTGAAGGCATCTAGACACTTCTCAATTTACTCCTTCCAGAGCTATTCCTGTCCCCTTGCAGCTTGTGACTTTGGGTAAGGTGGTTGAACCCTTCTGCATTTCAATTTCTTCATCTTGAGAATAGTGATGACCTGTCTACTCCACAGATTTAATAAAAGTATATTTTCTAGACAGTACAAAATTCTGCAAGCTGGAAAGTACTATGAAGTTGGGTTTAACCCTTATATAAAACACAATCCCAACTTTTCCTTTCCTAGGGAGCTGTGCATCCCTTCTAGCTCTTTCCTGGAGAGGCTACAGGGGGTTTTATTTGCAGCTGTTGCCAGTGCCTCCAGACCCCACCCTGCATACTCACCAGTGCCCCATACAGTGCAGTTGGCTCGGGGGCATAGGGTAGATAGCCAGGGTAGCTCTGGGCAGCTGCTGCAGCTGTGTATGGGGCTCCATAGATTCCCAAGGCTGCTCCCAGCTCAGGCCGTGCACTGCCCAGTAGTCGACTGTCATAGGGTGTGCAGCAAAGAGTGGATGCTGGGGTGGAACCTGAGGCCACATCTGAGACTGAATGTGAAGCTGATTCGCAGCAAGTGGTGCCAGAACTTGCAGACACCAGAAACTAGGGGAGAAGGATGGAAAAGGGGTCATTGGAGGTCAGAGACCTCAGCTAGATGATTCTTTCATTCATTTTTGTATTCTCTTTTGTGCTCAGCATTCTGTTAGCTTCTCAGATGGCAATTTTCAGCAGGCAGTTTATTCAAACTGCTCTTGTAGGTGTGCTTATGCCGTCCTTAACCCTCCAGAGTCCCAGAGGGTTCAGGAAATGTGAACATTCAGAAACCAGAACTGGAGACCAAATCCATAGCCCATCTGTACTCATCCCTAAGAGACCTTATACAAGCAGGGATGGAAGTTAGCTTTACAACTCTTCATCAACATTTTATTTCTATTCCCAGTTTATAAATAGACAGTCCAAGACCAGTAAGAGTAGGAGACACATCCAATATCAAACAGCAGGTCAAAGGTCAAGCTGACATGAGAGCCTAAGAAAATATACCCAGCACTATGGGGGCAGGAATGGATAACACTGCGGGGTGTCTCCAGAATTTCAGCAGAAAACTCATTATTGCCTGGTTTGGAAAATCTCGCGGGCCAAAGCAGAGATCCTGGACCAGCCCAAGGTAAAAGGATAAGAATGGAGGTCGGCTAATGAGCTACAGCAAATAGGAAGACAGCGCTCTGGCCTGGAGTCCTGAGTCTCCCACTCACCTCACATCTTGAAGAGGTGGCCTGACTGGCAGATCCCTGAGATCCCACCCTCCTTGCAGAGCTTGGGGTCAGGGCTCCCGATTCAGGTCACTGGATTTGGGGTGTCAGACGGGGCCATCACACAGGATGTTTGCTCCCCAGGCTTCCCCAGCAACACACCAAAGAGAAGGCGCGAGGGGAAAGGCGCGAGGGGAAGTCAAGGGTAGGAGCCTGCGCTAGACACCAAGCACTAGTCTATTCCATTCCCCCCGAAAGGCACGTCTTACCTGGGAAGCGCCGCCATAAGGGTGTCCGAAGTGTGAGAAGGACATAGTGGCTGTTCTTGTCCTGTGCCCCTCTTCCCTTATGAGTTCCCTTCTCAGTCCCGCGGCTGGGCGCCCCTCGCCAAGCGGCGTCTCCTTCCTTACACCGCGGCTGAAGCCCACCTCCGGTTGCTCTGCGGGCTTGGTGCAACGGGCTGCAGAGCCCAGGGCAGCCCAGCTGCGGAGCCCTGCGCTCCGGAAGGCGCCCCTCCGGCCCGTGGGGTCCAGAAGACAGAAGGGCCCATGGATGGGAAAGGGAAGGAAGAAGGCGCGGGTTCCAGGAGATGCGCGGTGGCGAGGCTCGGCGCGGCGGCGCTGGGCTGTGAGGCTTCCGAGGTGTCCCGGTCCAAGGTGGCCAGTGGCTCAATGTGACGTCACGGTAATCTCGGGATGTCAGATGGGACCCCGGGCCTCGGGCCCCGGGCCACCAAGCGTACCAAGCGCAGCCAGCCAGTGAGTGCGCGCGCGCACTCTCAACCCACACTCACACTTGCTCCAAGAGATTTGAGCAGCCGGCAAGGAACGTCAAAGACCCTGACCCTCTCTGCTCAACGCTAGAACCTACCCTTTTTCCCCTCAAGCTCACGCGTGCATTCACATCGTATCGCTACAAATTACCCAGGAGAAGTAGGAAAAAACGCCTCCCTCTAGCCGCGCAGGCCCTGGACGCAGCCGCTTGCTCACCTCCTCCCCTGCGGCACCCGAGGAGGCAAGAAGTAGCCGGGGCGGCAAAGGAGGAGAGAATGCAAAAGAAGAGACCAGAGAAAAGCGGGAGAGAAATGCAAGAGGGAGAAGGAGGAGGGGAGAGGAGAGAAACGAGGAGTCTAAGTGAACGGAGAAGCGCGCAGGAGGGGGAGGTGTGAGGCTGCCTCACACCGAAGTGGGGAGGTTGGGCGGAGGCTGAGTTGGCAGGTGGAGAAGAGCCGAGGCTGGGGAACAGGGCTCTCCAGCACAGCTCCTCAGCCTCTGGGTCGCAGGAAAGTTTGTTTGCATCACCGGGCCGGCTGGTTGGTACACCTTGGGATCACGTTGGTGAGCCCCCTAGGAGGCCCATTTTTGGCTCCTGGGATCTACCTCCTGATTCAGTCTCAGGCTAATTCTGGCTTTCCAAGCCTTGGCCTCAGAAAAGCCCTTGGCTGGGCTTTTCTGCAGCCGTCTGGCCCCCTAATAAGCCTAGTAGCACCACCATGGGCCCAGGTGCAGGAATCTTCAGATGCAGGCTGGAAAGATGCCAAGTGTGACCCCTGGGATCTGCATATTTCGAGTTAAGACCCCTGAGCGAGTAGGCTTAGTTACCCTTGCGGGCTTCCCTCGGTGTCCATCAGGAAGACAGGGAGCTGGAGGATGGCTTTGGGGCTGGGCTGCAGCCGCTGTGCTCCGCTGGGGGTGGCGCTGGAGAGCCGTAGTAAGAGCTCCAGGAGGAGGCCCACTTCCTGCGCTCGCCAGAAAGTCTGGGCCCAGCGGTGTGTCCTTTACCCTATGCCTGAGGTTCTGAAAAGGGCTCCAATGGGCCTGGACAACGGATGCATACTGGTGCCCAGAGGAGGTCCTCATCCCCTAGGCCTGCCACTGGGCGAGGTATGGGCAGTTTGCAAGCAAGGTAGCCTCTGCACCTGAAGTCAGGAACTCCAGACCCCAGACTCCCTTCTGAGAGACTCTTCATGAGACTTGCCCCATCAGGAGATGAAAAGGAAATTGTCAGCCTAGTAAGAGATCTTAAGCAAGTGCCGCCAAGCATAAGGTGGAGTTTGCAGCCAAGACTTCCAGGAAACTTTTCCCTTGGCACAGGGACTCAGGGTACACCTGGCACTTCATAAACCTCTTTCCTGGGTCCATGTTAAATTCTCCAGAAGAGTCATGGGAGTTAGTTTCAGTGCCCAGTTAGAAATAAATGTTCTAATTGAGACACAAGACCCTGTGGCCCAGAGGATAGGACCAGCTCTGGGCAGCCAGTCACAGGAGCAATGTCTGTGTCCCTCAGGGAATCTGTTGCCACTTGTTTGCCTGTGGCATTTTGCAGTAGGGACTGATAGGCCCTGGGACCCATCTCCTCTTCAGAATGACATTTCTGGCTCTACCTCCCGGGTGTGCTACCCCTTTTTTCTTCACAGATTCTGCAGAATGAACAGAAGCTTAAAGAGGCAACAAACCACAGGCTCCTCCACAGAGAGATCCCTAACATGAGGACAAGTGCCATGCTGAATACGGAGAAACCTGGCTGCTACCATGGAGAGCAGTTACCTTGGAGAAACCTTGCTCTCAACCTTGGAAACTTCTAGTTAGGAAAAGAATTATAGTCATGGCCAGATTGACTTAGTGATAAAAATTCACGGTAATAAATAGATCCCTTGATTTTTCAAAATGCACTTTGGGGCCATCCACCCATTTACAGCTTGGATACATCTAAGCTATTTTTTTAAAGTAAGAATTAGCAAGTATTCATTAAATTAGTCCCTTGGGGAAGATTACTACTAATTAATTAATTGCAAACATTTCCAGGGGGAAGGTATGTCAATTGTAAGGTAATAAAATTAGATAGTCGAAGCACTTACTCAGCAACTTTGCCCATTTGTTCCTATGTGGAATTTTTTTATGATAGAAAAATGGGGATGCTGGTGAAGAGAAAGCATTAGCCTGTCCCCTGACAATATAGTTGTGAAGCAGAAACCACCATATAGGATTTATTGATTTCCAGCTGATTTATAAGACCTTTCTGGTATCAATGCTTTGCACAGGAGCACCGGGCCCACCTCTTGCCTTTGGCCTAGGATTAGAGAAATGCAACAAGATTTTTAAAAAGACAAAAACCAGTGACAAAATAAATCGCTAAGAGTATAATCTCAGCACTTTTCTTCCTCTATAGAAATGGAAAAAAACCACAAGTCAGTGTTTTATGTGATAGCACCTTAAGGACTGTCTTCAAAGTTGCTTTATGATTTAGGCAGCATCCCTTAGAATGTTTCCCCCGAGGAAGGCACTGGCCCCCGGTGTTCCCAGCCTTGAAAGACCTTGATTTAATATTTCCTTCCCAGGGAGTGCTCCTTGTATTGGTGGCATTCAACTGTTACCACTTTGAATATTTAGTAGGATTCCATAAAAATGGTGATTATGAGAGAGGCCTATTTTTCCCATTATTTTGAGAATCTCATAACAAAACAAAGCCAGTAGGCTAAGCCAATATCAGCCTCTGTCTGTCAGAAACCTCAGGTGGAAAGAAGTCTGTTTCTTGGAAAGTCTGATTCAGAGATGCTGCAGTAGAATTTCCTTTCGTCTTCCTGTCTCCTCCCAGGCCCTCACTTCTGCAGTCTGGTGCTCTGGGCTTCTCCACTCTGGCGGCTTTTCATTGCTTTGTTCAGGGCTGATTAATTTAGTTTCAGGGGAAGAATCCCCAATTGTATATGTGTGCACACAGAATTTTATTGAAGCTAGTAAATAAACCTATCAAATATGAATCCTCCCAGTTACATTTAAGGGAGTCATCCCACCAAATGTATTTTGAACAAATGATACAGATTCTTTTGTTGTGTTGTGCAATATGCCTGAAAGTTCCTCTAGCTGCTCATTAAAACTAATATGAAACAAAGCAAACAAAGGCCTACTTGGACCACAGAGAGTACTAATCCACACTGCTTATTGGAAGTTCGTACTGCCTTTGCCTTAAATGTGCTAAAGTTCCTGAGCAGGCAGAATAAGGGATGCGTGCCTGACAATAAGCTTGGAGGAAGCAACCGCAACAAAAACAGGAAGACAAATCATAATGCATTATTCTGGCTAAAACTGTCTATGATTTCCTAATGAACTAAAAGGCAGCAGATTTTGCAGGGGGGAACTAGCAACCCTTAGATGTTCCCAAATAGCTTCAAATACCTCAAATCGCAAATAGCATGAGCAGCAGGAGCGTAAGAACATAGTTGAAAACGTGATAAATTTTATTGTTTTTTAAATATGGAGTTTTCTGCTGACTGTTTTTGAACTCAGAAGAAGGAAATTTCCTCAAATCTATGCATGAATGAACAAGTGCATCTGGACAGATGCATTCATAATTTATACTGATCAGTCACTGCGGGTCTCCCTGAGTAAAGCCGAAATGAACACTAATTGTTTTGACGGAAGTGGTGTGCGCTGCATCTGATTGTGAAACGCAGTGAGTCCCTGCCTTGCCTGGATCCATATTGCCTGGATCCAACAACAAGCCTGGCATCAGGAGGGGAAAATGAAAAGGTAATAATTCCCAGACGGGGGTGTTGCTGCCGCTTGTCAGGAAGGTGGCACGTGGAAAGATTAGCTTCTTGGAAGTAAAATCTAAAACGAGACAGAGTGCAGAGATCCTGGCTTGTCAACATTGCGCCTGAGGTTAGAGTTAAAATTGATGGCTTGTTAATAACCTTAAAATTCTTCCGCATTGTTAGGAGTATTTGAGAGAGTCCTCAACACCATGGCTTTGTGTTATTAAAGGCTCAGGACAATATTGGAGAGGTGAGGAGCAAGGCGAAGGTCATTACGCAGCCACGCAGAAGGCAGAGAAGAGGCTACAGTCCAGACCTCTTGATTTGGGTCTCTGTATGAGACGGATCTCCAATACCTCCACCAGACGTAGCCAGGAGATGTTGCTAAATGTAGACGAACGGTGCAAGTTCTTGTTCGCGCCTTCAGACAACACAGTGTAATTTAGCTGAGAAAATGCCTGGAATGACTGGAGTGAGGCCGCTAAGGAGAACTGAGTTCAGCGTCTCTTCTGCGTGCTTTTGTCTCAGTCTCTGTTATGAAAGGCTTATGTGATCATTTGGGGCTTCTGGAAATTTGTATAGATCATTCATTAATATGACAAACAGCAAACAGGTACAGCTGTGACTAATAAGTATTCAAAGAAGCAAAACACATCAAGGGAGGGAGGGAGGGAGGGAAGGATGGGGAGAGAGAGAGAGAGAGAGAGAGAGAGAGAGAGAGAGAGAGAGAGACTTTTTAAAAGTCCAGCTGAAATAGTCTGTGTATTCACACTGGTTTACAAA